TACTTAAGAGTAAAGCAATTTGCTCTCAAGGGGTTCAGCAGAATTTTTTTTAAGTTTATATATATATATGTGTGTGTGCGTGTGCGTGTGCGTGTGCGTGTGCAGAGAGCAAGAAAATGTGACAAAAATGGCAGTTTCTTATTATTTTAATTTTTCTGTAGATGTAATTTGTTTCAAAATAATTTTTAAAAGAGATTGAAAAAGGCCCAAATGACAGTAAAATATAAGTCCCAGAAGAAAAGTACAAAGTACTTATTAAATAAAAATCTCTCAATCCACAGTGATAGTTTTTTAAAAGAGAGAACAAGAAAAAGTGATGAAACTTATTAGCCACCTTTGAAAGGGATTATTGCACAAGCTCTACTCTAAAAGCTAGTCTTTAAAAGAAAATATAAGCTTTACCTTGTTTTTGTAGGAGGAACAAAGGTTCATCCCTAGTTAATGAGGAAAAATGGTATTCTCCTTTTTTCAGGAGAATACCAACTAATAAATAAGATGAACTGATAAAATCAGGAAAGGAAATCAACATTTTGAAACTTCTAATGAAGTGAGTGATTCAGGCAAGGATCATTAATGAATAAGGTAAAAATTCACTCAATATAAGGTGTTGAAGTACTACCCCCTAGATACTTAATAACTACAAAGAGAACAATATACCTATACAATGGAGGATTTGGAGGTCACCACCCTTAAGTAATCAAGCATCAGCACAAGTGCAACAACCTGATATTCTATGCTGCCTAATGTAATACCATGTGAAGTACAATATATAATCATGAAGTCTGCTTCCCAAAAATGAGTCTAATCAACTTTTACATCTACCTTGTTACCAGAAATACAGGACTTAGTGGAATGACTTAAACACAAGGCAACAAACTAAACAAATACAGAGTGTGTGGTATTCTATAAAATAGCTAGCATAGTCTCTTCATAAAGTTAATGCCATTTAAAGGGGGGTGCAGAGGTGGGAGGGCTATTCCACTAGAATCTAGTGACTAGATCATAAGAGAGTAGAGACACTATACCAGATTTAGTATGTGCCCTCACAACTCATTCCAATGTTTGCCTCCAAACTGTCACATCTGCCTTCACCTTAGCAGCCTTAGCAACACCTTGTGCCTCTGGACTCTTGTCCACCTCTCATCTCTCACCTCCTCACTTGAAACTTTCCTGTTAATCACAAAACTAAAAACCATATTCCCTGCACCCAACAAATCCACATCCTTAAAGTTCAGGGGAACTGATGCCGGTAGATAAATTCTTTCCTTTCTTTCCTTCGATATATGGCTTCTCAGGGATGCAAGTTATATATTTATGATTTGTGCACCTTTATGTACAAATAACACAAAGTACTTAAATAATTTTAAGTCAGTGTTTAGAGGACTTCAGATTAAACCTAGTAGACTAAATATATGCTTTTAACTCTACTATCTCCTAAAACTCTACATAAATTAAAGCAGATGGATTGTTTTAAAGCATTAAATCACAAGGTCAAAAGGGAAAGGAGATGCCCTCACTACATTACTCAGTTAATTTCCCTCCCCTGAAGATGAACTCAGCGGACTGAAATAGGGAGCCTGGAGACAGCAGGGACAACTGAAAACAAGAGAATATTATACAGTGAAAGTGGACTAAGTATATAATATTCCAGACATATCTAACCTCTCACTTTTTTCAGTTATATTATACTTGCTGCTATGCAACCTGCTTTCAATAATTGAATAACACATAGTGGATAAACAGATAATATTTTTATGCCTGCTATTTTATACTGCATTAAATGGCTACACCATAATGTATTTATACAGATTCTTACTGATATTTGTATTTGTTCCTTGATGGTTTTTACTAATATCAAATATTGCAATGAACATGCACATATATACAAACACACATATATCTTTTAATATATATCGATAATTTGTAAGTACATTTGGAACATATGCTAGATCCAAGGATATGAATATGTACTGTCAAGCTATCTTTCCAAAAGGTTACACCACTGTATTCTCCTATCAACAGCATAAACGTTTCTCTTTCCTTGTTTAATTAATCTTTGATAATCAAATTAGAATATTCCCATTGTCAATTTGCATTTTTTAAAAATGAAGTTGAGCATCTCTTCATAGGCTTATTGGTCCATTTGTGTTAATTTTTCTCTAAACAGCCCATTCACATTCTTTAGTCACTTTCCTATTGAATGTTGGCTTTTTCCTATTTGAAAACAGATAACATTTTGTTTTTAAACTAAACTCTTAAAATCAGAAATATCATTCAACAGACACATACCAGAGTTGAGGAAAATTTTTTGAAAAAAGAAAAAAAAGCACTGAGAAAATTAACTTATTTTCTACAGAATCCTAATAGAATTAAATGTTTTAATTAGATAGTAATTTACTTGCTTTCTTATACTTTGTCATCTTCTCTAGTTTATTGGCTTTTTTTCTTACTGATCTGTAAGAGGTTTCCTGAGAGGGTTGGAAATTAGTCCTTTTCCATAAATATGACAACTTCCCCCAGTTTATCATTTCTCATTTTATTGTATCTTTCAAGATACAGAAGTTCTATAATCAAAGTTCAAACAATCAAACTTTGTGAAGCCCACAAACAAAATTCTACAAAGTCAGCATTCTTAACCTTTTCTTTTAATTTTTCTGGGTTTTCTTTGTTGTCATGCTTAGAAAAGCTTTCCTTATCCAAAAATCATTTAAAAGTTTATTTTTATAATTTCATTTTTTAAATATATATATTTTTATTTCAGAGAGGAAGAGTGAGGGAGAGATAGAAACATCAATGATGAGAGATAATCATTGATCAGCTGCCTCCTGCATGCCCCCCACTGGGGATCAAGCCCGCATGTGCCCTTAACCGGAATTGAACCCAGGACACTTCAGTCGGCAAGACGACACTCTACACCAGCCGTGGGGAAACTACGGCCCGCGGGCCGGATCCGGCCTGTTTGAAATGAATAAAACTAAAAAAAAAAAAACCGTACCCTTTTATGTAATGATGTTTACTTTGAATTTATATTAGTTCACACAAACACTCCATCCATGAACCCATTGTGGCCCTCGAGTCAAAAAGTTTGCCCACCCCTGTTCTACACTGAGCCAAACTGGCTAGGGCTATAATTTCATTTTTTTAACCTTTGAACCTCTGATCAACTTTAAATGTACTATATTATCAGGAACAGGATTACCACAGATTGAATTTAAATGTCCCCCAAAATTCATGTTGAAATTTTAAGCCCGAATGCAATGGTATGAGGAGGTACTTAGGTCATGAGGGTGGAGCCTTCATTAATGGAATTAGTATCCTTATAAAACAGACCCCATTTCCTTAATGTGAGGACACAGGGAGAAGATGGCTGGCCATCTATGAACCAGGAAGCGGGCTCTCCCTAGACAAAGAATCTGCTGGTGAGTTGATCTTGGACTTCCCACACTCCAGAACTGTGAAAAATAAATTTGTGTTGTTTATAAGCTATCCAATCTATAGTATTCTGTTATAGCAGACATGATAGCGCACCTTTTTCTGTTGGAATTTCTCATTAAATTAGGCAATTTCTCTTACCCCTACTTGCATCTTGCTTCCTTTCAAATACCTACCTTACAATCTCTAAAAGTAGCACACTTCTTTTAGAATTAGGATTGTTTTTATGAAAATGACACATGCTCATTATTTTTTTAAAAAGTAATAAAGTATAAATAAGAAAAAAAATCATCACCCAGAAACAATCATTCATATTAAACAAATATTATTCCAAACATCTCTCTAGACATATGTACAAAGTAAAGGGCACACATACCAAAAACAAAAAAAGTTATATGAAAAGGGGATATAACCATATTACTTTAAAAATCAAATTGTATTATTAATTAACATTTAAAAATATATTTGAAATGGACTATTATAAGCACAAATGATATATCAACTAAAGGGAATGGAAACTAAAATTATCCAAGAGAAAGTGATGAAAAATATAAAGGAGGAAAATAAGGACACAGAAAATACTACACTAGAATTTCTAATCAAAGGGAAACACAAGGACATATCAAGATTAGTAAAGAGAACTGTGAATTGCGTTTTAAGAGGTCTGAAATCCAAAGGTAGACTTTCCCAAACTAGCTGAATAAGCTAGGTCTCAGTTTTTCTTCTGGATCTCAGTTTCTTCATCTTTAAAATGAAGGAGAGGGATAAAATGTTTTGATTTTTCTTGCTCTAAAATTCCGTTTTGTTGCGTAACATAAACAAGAAACTGAGAAACTGTCTCATTCATTGCCAAAGGGCTGTCTGATTGCTGCCCACCACTACTTGTTTCTGATTTATTACACACCAAACAGAAGCTGATTCAATTTTCCAGGCAATTCTCTAGGACTAACTACAAGGGACTAGAATCATATTCAGTCAGACAACCACCTTCAAATGACTAATGTTTCTCAGACAGAATCTTCATTACAAAATGCTTCATATCTCTGTTATGTCACGTCTAACTCTACCAGCAACAATATATAACAAAAAAGAACATTATGAAAATAGTTATGAAAACTCGACAGTTTTAATTACAGAAAAATATAGAAACCAATGCTGACCTTTGGATTTATTGATCAGTCTCTAAAATTTTAATAATACAATCTTTCAGGACAATAAACAGAATCCTTAGGATAAATGTAGCAAGTAAACTGCCCAGGACTACAAAACTATATTCAACTTCTAAGAAAGAATACCAGAGCAAAACTATTTTTTCAAAGTACATATAGTTTCTATCTATCATACAAAGTATTTTTTAATAGTCTAAAGCCAGTATTTCACACCTCAAACCATTTACACCATTTTAAGACCAGGGCACCAGAGATTCTGAGCTTTTCTTTTCAAAAGTATTTTTAATCCTATCCTCTTTATTCCATTATAAATAGTAGTTCCACAAAGTGTCCATTTTAATAAAATGAAAAAAAACTTAGTAGCCCTAAACAGCTTAAGGGAAAAATTTTTTATCTTACCTCTATACTAGGGCTAAGGCTGCTTGGCAGTGTTTCTGAAGTCACAGTAGTGCTTGGAAGGCTGGAAATTTCCCAAGTATTCACAGGCTGTATTGGTTCAGACTGCTTTGAACGATCTATACATTTTGGATTATCCAGTAAGGTCACTTCATAAAATTCTTGAATATCTACAGATGAGGGAAGGAAAAAAAAAAAGTATTTATATTTTCTAATTAAACTATGCATTGCTAAAACAACATAATCCAAAGGCAAAAATTTTACTCTAGATTAGCACAGTAAGTCCAACCTTATAGCATGCTTAAACAGTAAATATGTTTCACTTTATTATATCACAAGCATATCAGAACCTGCAGGCACAGAGTAAGTCATAGGCTTTTTACACTTCAAAGTCAGTACTGAGTTAAATAAAATACCTCCTTTTTCACCAATTAGCTACATATTTAGGCAAGTTACTTACCTCTGATAACTTGCCTTTTATCATTGTGAATTGTTACAAGGACTGAATAATACATGCAAAGTGCACAATGGCACATAATAAGCTCCTAATAGAAAGCAGCTAATATTATTATAAATTCTGCATATATGACTTATTACTGATATTTTATATCTTTGTACCACCAATATCCAGGCTGGGCATATAAACCTCTTAAGTGGTTTTAATGGCTCTTCTAACCAAATGATAACAAAACAAAAAATAAGTGAAAATAAAATCAACAAACTAGAAGCATTTCTAGATATCTCTAGTCTGGATATTTAGAAATAGCTAAGTTAAACAGTTTATGTTATTTTAGAAATAATCAGTTAAAGGTCTGACAAAACTCTAAAAGAAATAATAAACATACTAATAGCAGCACAGGATAATTCAGAATATCATGTTACTTTGTTATCAGCTGGAATTATATAAGCTTGATACATTAACACTGATTATTCATGCTGCTCAGAAGCTCTGAGTGATAGTTTATTCTATATTAGTTTACGACAGTTAGTTCTTTATTCACCTACTGGTTTAATTTTAAGTTGATTTTTTTAAAGGAGGGAAATTAATATCAGCAAAGGTGGCCATTGTTCTGTATAGAATTATACACAATAACTATAAATAACATAGATGGAATAACTTTTACTTCTTGTTTCTCAGAATGATGAAAAGATTAGTATTTCCTTTAAAAACATGTGATAGTAGAGACAAAGTAACTCCCTTTTCAGTTTTAATAACCAGTGGAATTGTACAACTTTCTAAGTAAAGGGCTAATAAAAAACTAACGTCTACACAATAAAGAAAATAACCGACTTCAAAGGATGTCAAGAATATTACTAGAAAAAACTGTATATGAAAGCATTTATAAATCATAAATCACTATATAAAACTATTCACATAACCATCACGAAAATAAAAAATTCAAACTCAGAGCACTGGCTACAAAGTGTTCTTACCAAAATTTGTTTAACCTGAACCTAAAGCAAGTCTTTAAAATCAACTTCTAGTTCACAGGAAATAAAGGGGATAGAGGAACAAATTATATGACACCAGGAAAGCAAGCAACAAAACAAATCGGGAAGGGGACATTCTACAAAAAAACTGGCCTGGTTTCTGTAAAAAATTAATATCATGATAGAGAAAAACTGTTTGAAAGCAAGAATTTTTCTGTATAAGAGAAATGAAAAAGACATAGCAACCAACTACAACATCTGAGCCTTGACTAGTATATGTGGTGGGAGGAAGAGAGAGGAGCTATAAAATACATTGTAACAAATTCGGAAATTCAAATATGGACTATTTTCCAGAAAATATTAGGAAATTTTTTTTTTTTGTAGAAGATATATGTGTGAGAGTATTGTTTATTTATGTAGTAGGGCATATATTTCTATATATGTAAGATATATATTTTATATGTGTAGGAAATATCCCATACTAGAGGCCCGGTGCATGAATTTGTGCACCAGTGGGGTCCCTTGGCCTGGCTTGTGGGATCGGGCCAAAACCAGCTCTCTGACATCCCCCAAGGAGTCCCAGATTGCAAGAAGGCACAGGCCAGGCCGAGGGACCCCACCAGTGCACGATCAGGGTCGGGGAGGGACACGGGAGGTTGGCCAGCTGGGGAGGAACCACGGGAGGGCTCCAGGGTATGTCCAGCCCATCTCGTTCAGTCCCGATTGGCTGACCCCAGCAGCAAGCTAACCTACTGGTCGGAGCATCTACCCCATGGTGGTCAGTGCATGTCATAGCGAGCAGTTGAGTGGCCTTAGCATATCATTAGCACATTACTCTTTGATTGGTTGAATGGCTGACCAGACACTTAGCATATTAGGCTTTTATTATCCTATCAAATAATAGACAAACAGGGTAATTGACCGTACCTTCGCTACACCTCCCATTGGCTAATCAGCGTGATATGCAAATTAACCGCCAACAAAGATGGCGGTTAATTTGCATACGTAGGCTCCAAGCAGCGGAGCAAAGACTGAAGGCGAGCCGGAGCAGCGAAGACGGAGGATGGAAGGCGGCTCTGGCCAGAGCGAAGGCCTGGTCCCGGGTGCCAGAGGAAAACCGGTGCCCGCAGCCAGAAGGGAAGGCCTATTGCACGAATCTCTTCGTAGAATAATAAATTAATCTCTAGTAGAATAATAAAAGCCTAATATGCTAAGTGTCCGACCTAATGGTCGACCACTCAAGCAGTTGCTATAATGAGCACTGACCACCAGGGGGCAGGTGCTCCAACCGGTAGGTTAGCTTGCTGCTGGGGTCCAGCCAATTGGGACTGGGCAAGAGGGCCAGACACGCCCTGGAGCCCTCCCACAGTCCTTCCCCAGCCGGCCGGCCCCCACCGGCCCCGATCGGACCCGATCACCAGCCAGGCCGAGGGACCCCACCCATGCACTAATTCATGTACCGGGCCTCTAGTATATTTATAACTATCAAGAGAGAGGGGGGAGAGAGAGATAGACAGACACAGGTATTTCCTACTAAAAAAACAAAAATAACAATAACAACACAAAGAAAATCCAGAACTCCTAGTATAGTATTTGCCTCAAGAGCACTAAATGAGTATTAATTGGTTAGCTACCAATCTTTAGCCCACATCACTACATAAAATTATTACTGTAAATCAAATTTCAAATCTTAAATTTCTATGTGACCTTTTATTCTATAACTAGAGGCCTGGTGCACGAAATTCGTGCACTCAGGGGTCCCTCAGGCCAGCCTGTGCCCTCTCACAGTCCAGGAGCCCTCGGGGGATGTCCGACTGCCATGGAGGCAGGAGAGGCTCCTGCCACCACCACTGCGCTTACCAGCTGTGAGCCCGGCTTCTGGCTGAGCAATGCTCCTCCTGTGGGAGCGCACTGACCACCAGGGGGCAGCTCCTGCATTGAGCATCTGCCCCATGGTGGTCAGTGCACATCATAGCAACCAGTCGTTCCGCCATTGGGCCGAAACCAGCTCTTGGATATCCCCCGAGGGAGTCCCGGATTTCGAGAGGGCACAGGTCAAGCTGAGGGACTCTACTGATGCACAATCGGGGCCGGGGAGGGACACGGGAGGTTGGCCAGCTGGGGAGGGACCGTGGGAGGGCTCCAGGATGTGTCCAGCCCACCTCACTCAGTCCCGATCAGCCGGACCCCAGCAGCAAGCTAACCTACCAGTCAGAGCATCTGCTCCCTGGTGGTCAGTGCACATCATACCGAGCGATTGAGCGGCCTTAGCATATCAATAGCATATTACGCTTTGATTGGTTGAATGGCCGACCGGACAACCGGACACTTAGCATATTAGGCTTTTATTATATAGGATTAACTAACAAACACCACTGTATTCACCCTTCAATAACATCTCTAATGAAAATCTGGACCAATGCTGTCCAGAAGAACTTTCTGCAATGATAAAAATGCTCTATAGTTGCCCTAGCTGTGCTAGGTTTTGCTCATCGGTTAGAGCGGCCGGTTTGATTCTGGTCAGGGACACATACTAGTACCTAGGTTGTAGGCTCTATCCCCATCCCTAGTCCGGGCTGTTGCGGAAGGCAACCCTAGTCCAGGCTGTTGCGGGAGGCAACCAATTGATGTGTTTCTCTCACACTGATGTTTCTCTCTCTGTCTCTCACCCTTCCTTCCACTCTCTCTAAATATGGTAGCCACTACCTACATAAGACTATTGAACACTTAAAATGTGACTAGTGTGACTGAGGAACTGAATTTATCATTTCATCTAGGTTTAATTAATTTAAATAGTTATATTTGGCTAATGGCTACCATATAGGACAACTGAGATCTAGACTAATATAACTCAGAGTAACATTTTACTATCTGGTATGGTTAAGGAACAAAGTGTTCCCTACATAAGTTTTTCAAACGTTCATTTGCATCTAGCTACTAGCAATTGAAATGCCTTAAATCTAGGTCATATATTCATCTATCAAACAGGCCTTTCTAGTTTGCTATATCTGAGCTCCCATGGACTAGAGCAGCAGTTGCCAACTGGTGGTCCGAGGACCACTGGTGGTCTGTGAGGTCCAAAAGATTGGCGACTGCTGGTTTAAGAAAACCTTTGGAGCAGCAATCGCCCACTGGTGGTCCGGACCACTGGTGGTCTGTGAGGTCCAAAAGGTTGGCGACTGCTGGACTAGAGAACTAAATATTCATATTATTTAAACAATATCAGGCTTAAGACAAAATAAGCTGAGTAAAATACCCATTAGGATAGCTAGTATCATCAACAAAACAGAAAATAAAGAGCCTTGATGAGGATGTAGAGAAATTAAACCCTTGTGCATTGTTAGCAGGATTATAAAATTATGCAGCTACTGTAGAAAAAACAGTACGTATAGTGGTCTTTCAAAACATTACACATAGAATTACATTTGACCCAGCAATTCAACTTCCAGGTATATAACCAAAAGAACTGAAAGTAGTGACGCAAAACAAATACAGTCCTACTTCAGAAATATTGTAAGTTTGGTTCCCAACCACCACACAAAAGCGATTATCCTAAGACAGTGAATATTGCAATGAAACACATCACACAAATATTTCTGTTTCCCAGTGCATATAAAGTTATGTTTACACTACACATAGACAAGCACATGAAAAAGTGCTGCACATGTCATCAGGGAAATGCACGTTAAAACAATGAGATACCACTCTACATCTATTAGCATGGCCAAAATACAGAACA